TCGGACGCTTAACCGACTGCGCCACCCAGGCGCCCCAAGTTGGTGCTGGTTTTGAGGAACCAAAGACCACTCATCAGCCAAGTACAATTAAGGTTTAACTGGGAGGGTCTAGGAGGCTCTCATAGCCCTCCAACTACAGGGTCCAGTGGGGCCTGGGAATATGAACTGGGAAGCCACCCACGCTATTCTCTGGGGCCCTGGGTGTGGCTGTTATCCCTACTTCCCTGGGCACTTGTGTCCCATTCTTCAGACCTGATGTGTCCGATTATTGTCTGGGTGCACACCTGAAATGGAGGCAGCCCAACAACGCCAGGAAACAGACCTTCTAGATGTGGGGCACTTCATTCAAATTCTCTCGAGAAGCAATCTAAGTGACTGGCTTTGAGCCAGGTGTCTCCTCTGCAATTGAGTGTGGGCAATGGGCTGAGCCATGATGCACCTGTTCACCTCTGGGAAAGCAAGGAGGAGTAGCTCCACATGTCAGAGGTCCCCAGAGAGCCCCGGCAGGCAGTGTAGGGGTGGCCGGGGCTAGGGTCGGGGATCTCATGACCCTGAGTCTTACAGGGCGCGTGGCGGCCCAGAATATGCTGGCGCAGGAGGCGGAGATCAGCACCGTGCCCTACCTGTGGACAGCCATGTTTGGCAAGAGCCTGCGCTACGCTGGTAACAGATGGCCCGGGCAGGGGCGGGGCCAAGTGCGTTTAGGGGTGTGGCTAAGGTGTGTGCGGAGCGCAGAGGTGGAGCTTGGAAGTTAGGGCGGGGCTATGAGCATCCTAGGGGCGGGGCCGCGTCAGCTGTAGGAAGAGTGAAAACTGATTAGGGGTGGACTAAAAGGACCACCTAAAAGGACAAAGGGAGCAAGGCCTGGTGGGGTATTCAGGGGGGATTTAAGAGGCCACAGGACGCTGACCCGGGGGAGCCCCATCCCCTCCTGTACGGCCCACAGGGTACGGAGAAGGCTTCGACGACGTCATCATCCAGGGGGATCTGGAAGAGCTCAAGTTCGTGGCTTTTTACACCAAGTGAGAGCAACTGGGTGGAACGTGGCAGCCGCCGAAGCAGCGGGAGCTCGGTCGGGAAAGGGAACTCATCCCAGAGGAGCTCTGCTCCAGAGGAGGGGACTTACCTGAAAGATGGACCAAGTGGCCAAGGGAGGCAGCTAGGCAGGAGACCCACCAAGGGAATGTGAGGAGGTGGGGCAGTAATAACTCCAGCAGCCACGCACTGAGACAGGACATTTTATCTTCAGGACAGCAATTTGAGGTGGGTGTTGACTCCTGCTTTGACGCTGAGGAAAATCACACAGGTAGAGAGAGAGAGTGGTGATCCCAGGACTGGAGCTCAGCTCTGAACTCCACTGAGGAGAAAGACTGGAACCTCAGTGGGCCTCTGGCAGGATCCTAAAGCCCATGCTGGGCCAAGCAAAGCAGGGAGGGCTGGGTGCTCAGAATATTTCTGTTGTCCTGGGTAAGATCACTCCCTGGGCCCCAGTTGAAGAGGAGTACATCAGGGTCTCTAAGAAGAGAGGCCACTGCTGGGCAGTCCTCAGGCTCAGTTACTCTGTCCCTGCAGAGGCGATGAGGTGATTGCTGTGGCCAGCATGAATTACGATCCAATCGTGTCCAAGGTGGCTGAGGTGCTAGCCTCAGGCCGTGCCATCCGGAAGCGGGAGGTGGAGTGAGTGTGGGCTTCAGAGATATGGGGGGGGGGGGGGAGGAGGTCCCCTAAGGGACTGGTCCTTGGTAGCCAGCCACCCCCATAGCCCTACAGAGCCTTCCCTCTATTCTTGGTCCACATCAGTCTATGGAGCATCAGGACTATGGGGTGGTTGGGACAAGGGTTGTGCTTTGTGAATGGGCTGGTTATTTGTGTTCTTGGGGGACAGAAGGGGAAAAAGCTGTTGTCCCAGGGCAGGCCCAGTGCTGTGGGGAGGGGTCAAAGCCCTTGGTCAAAGCCATTGCTTAGGCAGTTACCTGGCATGGGACACCCAACAGGACATGGTTGTACTGAGACTGGCAGAAGCTAGGGGGGTAAAGGCAGCTAGTGATGCCTCTGGGGACACCCTACATAGAGTTGTTGGGTGGTTTTTTTGGTGTCTGGGAGACACTGGATGTCAGCTATTCCCCTCACCCCAGGCTGGTGCCAATGGGAGTCACCCTGTAGGCTTAAACTGCCTGCAGAGAGGCCCCCTCCCCCTGCCCAGGGACTGGGGAAATCCTGGAGGCCACGGGACAGGGGTAGGCCTCAGGCTGGAAACAATGGAGAACCAAGAGGGAACATGATGAATGACATGCTCTCTTCCTGGCCTTCTCTCTATCTCTCTCTCTCTTGCCTTCGAAAAGGCTGTTTGTGCTGCACAGCAAGTACGTGGTTCTCTGTCCTTCCTGTTGACCATTCTGAGCCTTTCCCACCTAAGCCCAGAGCCTGTACCCCATGGTCTTTCCCTCTATGCCTAAGTACCCATTCCTGCTGGGCACCAGGGCCTGGCACAGAGCAGGCCCCCTGCTGTCCTCAGTGATCAGCTGTTCATGGTGCCAAGTGGGGAACCCTCTGTCTTCTACCCTGACTCCTCCTCCCCTCATTCCTGCAGGACCGGCGACATGTCCTGGCTCACAGGGAAAGGATCCTGAGCTCGCATGCAGCAGACTTGGGCAGGCACGCTGGGGCACCAGGGACAGAGGCCAAGCCTTGGGGGCAGGTGCCAACCTCCAATTTCCCAGGATCCCCCAGGGCAGAACCTGAGCCTTCCCAGTGCTTGCCTTCGGTTGCCTGGCTCACCTCCAGAGAGGCTTCTGCTGCCTCCAGGAGATGCTTACCCCCCAAGGCCTCAGCTGCCACTGATGGCTGACAATGGAGGCAGGACAGGCTTGTCCTCTTCTCCCTTTCTTGAGACTGGTTCCCTACAGGACCCTGCAACATATTAGATATTATCTTAAAATTAAAACGCACACGTTTGCATATCTGTGTGACTTCCATTGTAATCGGACAGATACTCATGGAGAAAGCACAACCACACCAAGGAAGTTTGGCCTATGAGCACTCAGAGGAGGTAGCAACTGATGCTACCCCTAAGGTTAGGAAAAGCTTCTCTAACCAGTGTGTTGGATCTGGATTTTCAAAGAATGGCACTCCAGGTAGAAGGGACAGCACATGCCAAAGGTTTGAGATGGGAAGTGCTTCTTCAGGGGTCAGAGGCAGCTCGCACTTGGCAGTTTGGGGGCATGTGCCTACTTGGGGCTGTAGGGGCTGGGTCCTGAGACAATCCATGCTTTTCATGGCAGCCAGAGCTTCAGGAACCCCCATTTCGAAGGTAAAGAAAATGAGGCTCTGCTATTAACTAGGAACGAGGATCTAGAGCCTCTGTGCTACTCTGCCTCCTAGCCAAGGGGAATGTTGAGGGCGAGACGCGGGGGCCAGAAATGAGACAGCAAAACGGAAGGAGATAGTCGTGCTCCCTCCTAGGCCGCTGTGAGACCGGAACCCTCCACCCGGGATCCCGGGAGCGGCGGACGATCAAGGCCGAGACCCGCGCAAGCAGGGCATGCCGGGAAGTGTGGCCTATCTCCAGGCGGTGTGGGTCGGGCCTGCGGCGGGGCAGTGCAGTCCAGAAAGGGCTGGGGACTAGACGCCGCCCTCACTGGAAGGGGGAACTGGGCGCGCGTACTTGGCGGTAAATGATTCCCAGGGGGTTACACGCTCTCTGCAGGGCGCGTTCCCGGAGGCTGTGCTGGCCCGCGGAGTCAGGAGGAGCGCTAAGCTGGCCGGGAAGCGCGTGCAGGCGGGAGTGCGGCGCCGGCCGGAAGTGTGGTGCGGTTGGCACAGTGCTCGCCGGGAAACGTAGTCCCGCCCGGGGCGGTGGCCTCACGTCCCGCGGACCCAGTGGCCGAGCCGGCGTGGACCCGGGATGGCTGGGCCGGGGGGTTCGGGGGGCCCGATCGGAGCCGGGGCCCTGGCAGGCAGCGCACGGTCCAAGGTAGCTCCGAGCGTGGACTTTGACCACAGCTGCTCGGACAGTGTTGAGTACCTGACACTCAACTTCGGGCCCTTCGAGACAGTGCATCGTTGGCGGCGCCTCCCGCCCTGCGACGAGTTCGTGGGGGCCCGGTACGGCGGAGTTCAGGGGTCTTGGAGTAGGGGGGTGTCTGAGGAGGTCTTGGGCGGGGTCCAGGGACCGAGGCCGGGGCGTGGTGTCCAGGAGCGATCTGGTGATGGGGGATGGGGAGGAAGTGGTGGTGTCCAGGATGATGTCCAGGCCATGGGAGGGGGTCCTGAGGGAGTCCTGGAGCAGCGTGGCCTGGGGCAGGTACTAGAGTTAAGCTGTGTTTGTGGGTCTGGAGCTGGGGTCCCGGGGGCTCTGCAGTGGGGTGCGGAGTCCAGAGAGTCCCAGGGCAATGTCTTTGGTTCCCATATACAGGGTCTTGGGGTACAGGTGGAATTTAGGGATCTCTATCAATCTTGGCAGTTGAGAGGTGTTACCTAATTTCTGCACCAGCCCGGGTGCTTAGTCTCATTCCTTGGGTGCCCCCAGGAGGGTCCTGGACTCACTGCCACCCACCCATTCTTTCTTTCCAGGCGCAGCAAGCACACAGTGGTGGCCTATAAAGATGCCATTTATGTATTTGGTGGAGACAATGGGTGAGTGAGTATGAACATGAGGGTGTTTGGACCAGGGAGGGAGGAACATGGTGGTTCGGATGAGGTTAGCTAATCACTCCGTCTCACTTTCTCCGTCTTTGAGGTTACCTGTCCTCAAGGTCCTCAGCACAGCATTCAGTGGATAGCACATGCTTGGGACACAGAAATGTTCCTCTTGTTCTGGGTGGACACAACCTTGAAAGAAACACATCCACCCTGGCAGTCGCTCTCACCAGGCACTTTTCCCTTCACTGAACTCCTTTTTGGGCCTTATCCTCATGCTCACATGGCAGTGTTTGGAGGACACAGTTTTATTTATTTCTCATATTTTCCACTTTTTGGAAAGGTTTTCCCACCTGCCATAAATTTCTGGGAAACAACTTTCCTGACACCGACCTGATGTTTTTGTTGGTGGGCACACCTCCATCCTATGAACTGTTCCCAGTTAAGTTGCGGTTGGTCTCCTTTGGTGAGAGATAATGGCTGAGGTAAACCTTTGGTTTGTGCAGCTGCTTTCTTCTGGTGGTGTTTCCTTAAGACCCATTCCCAGAGGGAAAGAGCTATTTTAGCTCTTATCATGGGCTGGGCCATGTTAAGTACTGGGTGTGGGCATAGCTGGCCATGCTTGCAGAGGAAAAGGGGCTCTGATCTGGGCAGGGAAGCCCAATCTGGAGGGGTTGATGACCTGAAAGATAAGTAGGAGTGACTCAGGGAAAAGAGGAAGAAGGTTCCAATCGGAGGGATCCGCCTGGGCAATGAATGACCCAAAGGTGGGGGAGTACAGAGTGGCACCAGACCTGGAGTTTGGGCAGGGCATCCCTCCTCCATTAATTCATTTATGTCATCAGGAAAGGCCAGGGATGCTCACCAGGGGTCTGGGAGGCTTGGGAACCTGCTAGATGTGGGGCTGAAGCTTGGTCTCCCGGATAGACCAGGCTCAGTTCAAGTTAGAGCTTTGTGGCTTTGAGCTCAGGCAGGTTTGTTAAGACCACTAATCTGGTCTCCTCCTTTGTATATGGGGTGGCCATATGCCCTGCTCCTGAGGGTCAGTGAGCACAAACCTGTGAAAGACTCAGGACAGGTTTTGCTGTACTGAAGGTGCGGTGTTTGCACATGACCGATTCTGCCCATGAGTCTGTCCCTGCCTCTCAACCACAGGACTTGGCCTGAAGCCCAGAAGGACTGGCCTCTGGTTGGTTCTGCAGCCTTGGTCCTTCAGGACTCCCTCTGCGGGGGCTGACCTGGAGTTAGTAGGATACAAGGACCCCATGAGTACCTGCAGACTAGGCAGAATGGTTTCCTTGGGCGGGGCCCTGGCTTCTAGCCTGTCTTCCCCACAGCCTGTTTCCCTATGAGCAGCCAGAGGGATCCATTTGAAATGCAAGTCTCAGTGTGTGCCTCCTGAGCACATAATCCTGGGATGGCTCCCCTCTCTCTGAGTAAAAGCCCAAACTGTCCTGGCAGTCTGAGAGGCCTATACACTTGTGCCTGCCCTGCTCCTCTGCCTTTGTTTTACACTGGGCTACATCACTGCCTTGCTGTGTTCTGATTGAACCAAGCATCCTCCTGTTCAGGCCCTTGTACTGGCTGTTCCCTCCTTCCCAACCCTTCCTGCCTCTCTTCCGAACATACTGTGAGGGAGGCCTTCCTGACTGCCTGGGTCAACTGGACTGTGGCCCTCCCGTCCCCTTCTGCACCTCTTACTGGCTCCATGGTAAGAGTACAGACCACATAGATTACCTCAGAGTTATTTTTGTTTGTTACCTGTCTCCTCCACTGGGGAGAGACCTGAACCCAGCACCCAAACAATTCAGTAAATGTGTGTCACATGACAGGATGAAATAGGAAAAGATTCACAGGTGTTCACTGCAGGCTTTATGAGAATCCCCCAAACCAGAAAAGGCCTGATGTCCAGTCCGGGGCAGTGGGTGGGAACATTCCCAGGAGTGTTCTATAGCAGGTAGGGTTGGCATGGTAACTGTGTAGCAATAAGCAGAAATATCTTTGCTATAATGTGGCATTAAGAAACAGGATTTGTCTCACTCTGGTTGCAACTTTGTAAAGATTGAGTACAAAGAAAGATGGCGCTCCCTGGGTGGCTTGGTCCCTTAAGCAACTTTGGCTCAGGTCATGATCTCACGGTGTGTGAGTTCAAGCCCCTCATCTGGCTCTCTGCTGTCAGCACAGAGCCCACTTTGGATCCTCTGTCCCCTCTCTCTCTGCCCCTCCCCCTCCCCTCTTCCACTTGCTCTGCTTGTGCTTGCTCTCTCTCTCAAAAATAAAAATAAACATTTAAAAAAGAAAGAAATAGGGGCACTTGGGTGGCTCAGTTGGTTAAGCGTCCAACTTCGGCTCAGGTCATGATCTCACAGTTCTTGGGTTCAAGCTTCATGTCAGGCTCTGTGCTGACAGCTTGGAGCCTAGAGCCTGCTTCAAATTCTGTGTCTCTGGCTCTCTTTGCCCCTCCCCCACTCGCACTTTGTCTCTCTCTCTCTCTTTCTCTCTCTCTCTCTCAAAAATGAATAAATGTTAAAAATTAAAAAAGAAGGAAAGAAAGAAAGAAAAAAAGAAAGAAAGCCTCCTGCAGAATCTGAGAGGGGTAGAGAGAGAGCAAGGAGGGGCAAATGGGAGAGGGGAAAAATTACAGTCACATCTCCGCTTCCCAGCTCCTGGCTTCCAGGCTGCATGGCCTCAGGCAGGCCCTTTATCTCCCAGGCTGCTTCCTCTTTTCTAGAGACAGGTGGAGTGTGCAGCCCCCTGGTGCAGATTGAGGGAAGGGTGCAGGGGGTGCCCCATACAGGCCTGGATGCTGGGCTCCTATTGGTTGACTCCCTTCTTCCTTCTTACTGACAAGGGCTGGGCAGTAACTTGCAGGTCTTAGTGGGTGGCCAGTGGATTTGTTTTCCATTTTATTGTGCATCTTTAATGTAGTTACACTGGCTTTGCAATAAAGAGGTGGAAGGAATATCAGAGAGGAGGAAAGGGGCCTCCCCTGGGAAGCTCTGCATTGTGGTGGCACAGCCTCCAAGAAAGAGGTGCTGAGTCATGGGAGTGGGAGGAGGGGTTCTAGAGCCTGGGGTGAGGTGTGAACCCTCAAGCCAGCTGCTGAGTAGCTGGGATCAGACTTTGGACCTGACCCCAGGCAGGCGGGTCCCTGGCAGCCTGGTAGCCTGGTACCCGCACCAGCTGGGGAGCTTTCTTTGTGGTCATCACTCTGGTCCCTTGGGAATCAGCTGGATTCTCTAGGGAATCCCTAGCCCTGGTTGGGTCCCCACAACAGTCCCCACCCCCATCCCTGGGCCGCAATGTCCATCTCCTGGGTCCTGGAGAGCAGACCAGGACTGACCCCACTTCTCCCTGGCTGTCTTTTAGGAAGACCATGCTCAACGATCTCCTGCGGTTCGATGTGAAGGATTGCTCCTGGTGTAGGTACGTGGTCTCCGGGCCCCAGGTCCCCCTCTTTCCCCTAGAGGTCTGTAGCACCATGCTGGGCCCTGATTGCCAGTAGGGTCATGCTGGGGAGAGCTAGGGAGAAACTGCAAGGAGACAGCTATGGTCCTTAGTCTTTCCCTCTCTCTCCTGGGTTTCTTTTCCAGTCCACAACTTGGATTGATTATTCTGAATCCTGTTAGGTAAGGGGATCTGTTTGGTCTGGTTGCTGGTCCTCAAATTCTGCCTCCAGAGAGCCCTTCAGTCACTGGGCCTGTTTCCTGGGCCAGCGGCTGTCCTGGGAGCCAACATGGGTGGGGGTGGGGAACGGCTGCTGGGTCTTTTCAGGACTGACACTGTGGGGCCCGTCTTCTGCCCGGAGACCCCACATGGGTAGTGGGCAATACGAGAGCTCTGGCTTCCTGCCACGGATGGCCCTCGCCCCTGTGCAGCCTTGGGCAAGACATTTGCCCTCTCTGAGCACTGCATATTTGTGCCCATCTCCTCCAGTCCAGCCCTACCCAGGGGGAAGCTCACAGCTGAGGGGGAGAAAGGGATCCCAGGATTAGAAGATACTGGGTGTTCTGAGCTCTACCATCTGCTCGTGCAGGAGCACAGACCCTCTGAGTCCCCTGGGTGCCCCACTCTGCAGGAGCTGTGTGTGCAGCCCTCCGTCCCTAGCAGTCCTCTGGGGAGGGGGGGGGTCTCACCACCCCCATTTGATGGAGGAGGATGTCCAGGCCCAGGACCCATACCTGCCAAGCCTGGAAAACCAGGGTGGCATCATTGTGTGCCACCCACCCTCTGCCCAGGAGACCTAGGTAGTGCTGATATTGCCAAAGAAATTTGTTATTGTTCCTCTCACACTTAGTTTTATAATATAACCAATAGTTACAGATTAATGTTTAAAATCACTCTAAAGACTTTACAGTCCTTTACTAATAATTGCTTAAGCATAAAAGTCTGAAAAGGAGCAGCCCCAGGGAAGCAGTATAAATGGGTTTTTAATTCCATAAATAAAATGCATGGACTACCTCTGTGGAACACAGTGCAGCTGTAAGAACACAAGTATAGCTGATTGGAGAGTGGCAGGAAGACCTAGTCACAGTTTACTGTTAAGCTGAAAAAGCAGATATTACAACATATCTACCGCGTGATTCCATTTTCATAAATTACTCGGAGGCATAAACATGAATAGGAAAGGTGACGGGGTGGGAGGGTGGTGGCCTCAAGGTATAAAGGGTAGTTTCTGGCAAAGGGATTATATACAAGTCTTAATTCTGGTTTTGTGTTTTTTCCTTATTGGCAACTTTTATTATACGTTTCTATATAATGACATAGGTATTACCTACAAAACACAAAAACGAAAGGAATCAGGGAGGTGGCAGGGGCTGCCCTGTGTGGCATGGACTGCACATCTGACCCCTGCTGACACCCACTCTCCGTTTCCCCCCAACCAGGGCCTTCACCACAGGCACCCCACCAGCCCCCCGCTACCACCACTCAGCCGTTGTCTACGGGAGCAGCATGTTTGTATTTGGTGAGCTGCCTCTTCTCTCCTGGGCACTGTGCCCTCTTCTGGGCTCACAGCACCCTTGTCCTGCCCCAGGCCTGGGGCTCACATGCTGTGCATGGCCAACTTCTCTCTGTCCATGCCTTGTCTTTCTCTGCTTGAGTCTTGAGTTCCTGCACTGGTTTGGGGGCCTCTCAAGGGCCCCTATGGCCCTATGTGCCCCTTTCCCTAACTGTCCCAATTTCCCAGGTTTAGAATTGTCTGCCTCTGTGACTGGGCTGGAAGGTGGCTCTCCTCCCTCCTCTGTCACCCCACCAGGAGCAGAGCACAGGGTTCTGCTCATTTATGTGTCCCCAGAGCCTAACACAGTCAGGCACACAGTAGGTGTTCCCCAAAGTTTATGGAGGGAGTCCCAGAATACATCTTAAGTGAGGCCAGATTCTGCCCCCACCTCCTGGGGTTTAGAGACTCTGAGATGCTGCCTTTGGGTGTGACAGTTTCTCCCTCTCTCTACCCAGGGGGCTACACTGGGGACATTTATTCCAATTCTAACTTGAAGAATAAAAACGACCTCTTTGAATATAAGTTTGCAACGGGCCAGTGGACAGAGTGGAAAATTGAAGGACGGTGAGAGACTTTGCTGAAACCTTTCAGGGTTGATCGAGTGGCTACCGCATTGGGTCCGTGGTGGCAGCCGGCCTGGGATGTGGCCCCTATAGCATTACAGAAGAAGAGCCTGAGACTCAGAGAGGCCTGAGCTCTGCTCATTCCCAGCTGTGCCTGTTTGAGGCCCTTGCCCTGCTCTTAGATTCTCTCCTTTCAGAGAGCAGAAGGGACCCTGATGTACTGCTGATGGGCGCGTCTCTCCTGTTTTGCAAGCATCCCCCTTTGATATTTTGGTGGTGGCTGGGAGAGGGCTCTACCCTGTGGGCATCTGAATTCCTTATCCCACTGCCCTGCCTCATGAGCTCAGCCTTATGACACCCAGATGGCATCCCAGAGCCCCGGTGTCAGCAAATGTAGGCACAGTGGCCCTGGGGTCCCGGCTGGTGTTATGGGGCCATGAGGTTCAGGTCTGTGCTGGGCGGCCTCGCTCCTCACCCCCTCCCTCATCACACTACAGGTTGCCGGTCGCTAGGTCTGCCCATGGCGCCACGGTATACAGTGACAAGCTGTGGATCTTTGCTGGCTATGATGGCAATGCCAGGTAGGTGGTGCCCAGCCCGTGTACCCAGCCCCTGAGCATCCCTGTAAGTGTACCAAGGCCCAGAGCGGGACTTCCTGGCATGGGAGGGCTCAGGTGGGGGTTTCTCAAGAGGGTAGCGTTGTGGACAGGAGGGACGGGGTGGGGGGCTGGGGTGCCTGGGTGGCTCAGTCAGTTAAGCATCTGACTTGATTTTGGCTCAGATCATGATCTCACTGTCAGTACGGAGCCCACTTGGGTTCATCTCTCCCTTTTTCTCTGCTCCCCCCCCACTCGTACATGTGTGTGCATGTGCGCTCTTG